AAGAACAGGTTTAAGTGTTTCATTCGATTGCAAGGATTTAGTACAGTTTTATTGACAATCAAGTACTTTGCCTAAGAAGTTGTCGGTACATATGCTGTTTGCTGACTTTAAAATTTGCTGACTGATATCGCATTTTTCCTGCAATACACATTGAAATGAGAATTCTGCAGTTTAACGACCGCATTCCAGATATACATGACGGGGCCAGGATGAAGCTGTACTCCACGATCACAGCATACGTAGTCGAAGATGACGGGTATCGCCTAACTTGTTCCAAAATCGATGGTAGACTGTCTGTGAATCCAACACCTGGTTAGTTCGCTGAACTATTTCTCTTGCACTCTTATTTTTCCTTCTAGTTTTACCTACATTTTGATCAAGCTGTAAATAAAAGGATAAGTCTTCGCCGTTGATCAATCCCTTTGTGGGATGCGGCACGCATTCTACTTCCATTCAGAATCGTAGTGGCTTATTGAATGCGATGTGGCCTATACAATGACTTGCGGGGGCCAGCCGATGTACAAGTCAGTAACGTTATCCCCCCAGACGAATGGCACCAGTTTAACACCCCGCGGAGTGGAAGGCTTGGTTAGTGGCGAGCGAGCCTAGCCAGGTCTTAACCCTCAGACCGCGCGCGCGCCAAGCTATACATAAAAACGCGAAATTTGCTTGTCTTCATGTCTTGTATTATCTGGATTTGTGGGATCATCATTATAATTGCATTGATTTGAGGTATTTTCATCTCTCCGAACATTTGCAGATGTGATACCTTTGGATGCTGAAGAAATATGTGATATTGTCTCTGTTATTGGTCGGATAGATATTGACGGTGTGAATTATTTGCTGTTTGTGAGCGAAGCTACTGTAGTTGCAGAGTTTACTCGGTCTGATGTGAGTTCTAAAGATTGATGTTTCGTGAACTGTGTTTCTTCAGTCTGAAGACCTCAATAACGGTTATGATTTTGGTACGATTTTAGAGGAAACATCCCATTTATCGGATTGATCGAGTTAGAGCTGTGCCTCTGGATTCCTCTTTGCCATTTGATGGAGCTGTTGCGACATCTGCCTCGACGTCCGAAATGGCTACACGTCGTTTGAAGCAGGGGAACTGGAAAATTATTTAAGTTTGTGCAAGATAAAATAGGCAGGTTTTTACTGCGTTTTTCATCTCTTTCGCCTCCTTATATTGATAAGTGGTTTTACCAAACAAGGGGTCCTCAAATTTCAGGAAACACTCCAAAGCTAGGTGTAATGCTTGACGAAGTTCTTCGACTTTTCAATGATCATCCTGACTTCTATTTCTGTTTTGGTAGAGATATCACGCACTGTACTCATAGGTGAGGGCCACAATGATCCATTCGTGACAGTATTCATCGTCAGTGGTATGCACCGGGTTGTTCATTGGGAATATACGTTGATCACACAACTTCGACATGTTTATCACCTGTGATTTGCATGATCTTGGTCAAGGGGTCAAGGTTCGGCGACGGGGGGGGCATTTTGCACTTTCGCTATTTTCCGTCGGGTTCTTTCCAGGAGTTGAGCTATTGTTTGCAAGATTTCATAACTACTTTCTACAAACTTTGACTGCTACCTCTTCGTGGCTTCACCAAATTTCACAAATCTCTACTTGATGGCTCAACACGACAATGGGAAGCAGCGGAAGTGCGGAGTTCCTCCCCCCCTCCTCCCACCGCCAGACTGCGCCATAGGATAATACTTGAGCTGTCAAGTTCTTTTGCCAACCTTCTTTCTGCAGACACTTCTCTTCATCTAATGGTGGCCCTGATGAGCGGTTCTTTTGGAATAGGGTGTTGCTGAAAGATCTACTGGATGAGTCGGTTGACAAGAGTCTAGCGAAACGATGGTGAGCGTTTTGCCTTTGTTGATTTCACTTACCATGGCTCTATAGTTATTCCTTTTCTTTGGCACTTGAAAATTCAGGATCGTGCCAGTTATGCAGGGAAGTATATCGTGTGATACATTAACGGTTGGGGATGATCCTCAAATTCCATCAGCACTTAATATTACTCTTATATCTCGGCGATCAGTGCATCGTGCAGGAGTAAGATATCTGCGAAGGTGAGTTTTTGAAAGTCGTGTCTAAGCCGTCGAAGCTTTCCCTTATTAGGTAATGTTTCCCTGCAATTATACTAATAAACCCTCATATTTTGTCCCCGTTCCGGTCCTGATGGGCAACAGGAGAAATACTGAAGTCACTCACACCTTGCGTAGCTGCAGATTGCCAGAATCGCAGAATAGGCGACAAAGGAAAGCATGGGTCTGGAGAATGGGAGAATCCGCGAGTCAGACGAGCAGCATATCAACTGATGACGCTGTTCGGCTTGGGAGGGGTATTCTGCAGGTACAAGTAACTAAGTGATCCCATTTTGGTGAAACCTGTAAACTCTTGTAAACTGCGAAGAGGTACAGGTGAGGCATACTGGTTTAAAAATTCACAGGCCTTCACGAGCTGACCTGTACGAGTTTCACTGCGTACAGTGCCCCTACCGAGCCGAACTGCGCTCATTGACTCGATACGTGTAGAGAGAACTATATCAGTCGATATTTATTCGAACCTCCCAGTTGATTTCCCATTTTTACGGCTCTTCATATCAATAATTATATTCTCCTTTCCGTGGATTCTCTGATTCCTCAATAGCGCAGGGTATGAACCCGGTAATTCATTGAAGTTTTACCCTGAGAAATGGCATTCGATACTTGATGCCTTATAGAAATACTGGCGCTGTTCGGCTTGCAGTGGGCATTATGCACTCTCTCGCTAGTCTCTCTTACTTGTTAATGTTCAGCTACCATCACACCTTGGTGAGACTAGTAGACTCTTGTCAAAAGTAAACAGATTCCCTGTGACTGTATAGCTTCACAGGAATTTGCAGCTGTTGACGGGAAAGATCGACAGTTATCGACGGAAACCAACAAAATGCCCCCACCAAGTCGAATTACGCTGATATTGTCACCTGGAAATACTGGACATGAGATGAATGGGTCTTTTTCTTCGTCTCTTTTTCCCCACTGATATTGCGGTAGACGTCTTGGTAGCGAGGAATTCTCTTTTCAGTATTCCCTTACTTTCAGGGGAATCGACTGCGAGTCAAATGTGGCGAACTTTGTTGAGACAGAACTGATTCTTGATATTTTTGGTCACCACTTGTCATTTGTCCAAGTAATGTTTCTCCTTTTTCACAGTATTCTTACAGTTTTTTCAATCTTATGTCTTTCTGTAGGTACGCGGTTCGGTTCCGATTTTCTGGAGTCAAAAAGGTTTCAAATATCGTCCTCCGTTGGCCATCGATAAGAATTTGGAAGAAAGTGTACCGTATTTCGTTACTCATATGCAAGAGTTATTGGATCGATACGGCGCGCCGTTGGTAGCTGTTAATCTAGTCGATCAAGCTGGAAGAGAGCTCAAATTGGCGACAAGTTTTGTGGAGGTGAACATTTCTAGATAGCCATGATGAACTTTAGGGGTTACTTTGTAGAAGAACGCGACCTAATTAGCTTATCCAAATGAGAATAATATAAATTAGCAATTTTAATTGACTCTACGAGGGAGACCTTGAAAAAAGCTGTCCTGTGTGATCTGTACCAAATGCTACTATCTCCGGAACTGGTTAAGCATACAGTTATAAAGAAAACAAGCACTTTTTAACTTGGAGGGGACATTTCGCATTTTTGCAAGTTCCTTTCGTTGGTTAGTATTAACTAACAAGTCTCACTTTGTTAACCTGTACACTCTTGTGAAACAGCAGAATTGTATGAGTGAGCCAGTCCGCTCATAGGTATCCACATGTCTTCACAAGGCGGGTTGTACAAGCTTAACTGAGTACCAGCCGGTGCCCCCCCCACTCCCCCACAGTCGAAGTGCCCCCGAAACCCCATAGAGTGACTAAGAAAGTTGTATAGATGTGACGCTATGTGTGTAAGGGGATACCCAAAAGAGTAGCATGGTTAATCTTGGCGCGAATGTTAGACCTTCATCATCAATGAGATCGCATGTTTTGCGGGGGCATTTTATTGCCATTTGTAGCGCTGCCCTGACATTACACTTCATCCCCAGCTGTTTTCAGCATGCTGTCAAGATGGATTGCCCGGATCTGTACCTTGTGTCATTCGATCTTCATCGACATTGTCGGGGTCTTCGATTTGATAAGGTTTGTTTTATTTTGGTCATTAAGACGTAATAATTTTTCGCAAACAAGGGGAAGCTGTGACCCAGTAGGACCATGAGCAGGTGGAATCGGCGGTTTGGGATAGTTCAATAAACCATATAGGCGCTGTTTGGGTTGGGAGGGGCATTTCGCACATTCACGACGTCCCATTGTCGTGTCGAGCCATCAGGGAGAGATTTAATTTTGTGAACCCTTGAAGTAATACCGATCAAAGTTCGTAGAGATCCTTCTCAACCCTTGTGAAGGATACCTGTCAATACTTGTAAGGCAATCACTACGACGCCTCCCCCCCCCCCCACCTCCCACAAACTGCGCGCGGAATCGGGATTGAGGACGATTCGTGTAAACGAAAGTGTACTCATCTGTTCGGAGAATCCGTGATTGTCAAGGGTGCTCCTAGCCTCTTTCAATGAAGCCATCAGTTTCCATCTAATTTTTTTAGCGCTAATTGCGCTGAACTGCGCACTCTGCCGAATCCATTACTTGCACGTCGGTTCGTATACTTTCCTTTTCGCGCATTCTCCCTGATCGCCAGATTCACGCGCATTCGAAGTATGACCGCCAACCCTTGAGAACGTGTTCGAGGTTTTTGATTGTATCTTTAGAGTATCGTATTTAGATCAAGATCTATTGGTCATTGAGGACTTAACTAACACAAATTGGATATTGTTGGGTAGAAGACAGTATTTTGTTTTACATTTGAGGCTACAGAGATGTAAAGGCGATTAATAAGTGATGTTTCAGGTGAAATAGTTAAAACCCAGAAAGGTATAGTACGAACTAACTGCGTGGATTGTCTCGATCGGACCAATGTCGTCGCAAGATGAGTGATCTTGCGATAGACGTTATCGCGTGCAAAACCCGATAGGGCGTGTGACGGGGGCGGGGCTTGGAACGCAGCCAGGAAGGACTTTCTCAGCAGTTATAGCGCCTCAGAATAGCATCATTGTTGGAACAAGGCCGCCCTGGCTACGCTCCAAACTGCGCCGCGACACGCACAATCCTTTGCAGGGATATAAGCTGTAAGGTTCTAGTCTGCTTGAAATGCTAGATTAGGTTCCACTTTCAGGGTGCAATATCCCAATGGGTATGCATGCGTCAAGCTCAACGATTGGGACTATTTGGCCCACTTTGTGAGCCTCCAGAAGCTCTAGTCACCCTTCTTCAAAACATGTGGGCCGATAATGGAGACGCAATATCTAATCAGGTTAGTTGGCCGATGGTGAGCATATTTGAGGTACTGTAGGATTCACTCTCTAATTACAGTATGCTGGTACAGCGGCTTTGAAAGGAGACGTGACAAGAAGTGGCGAAAGGCGACTCGCTGGAATCATGCGCGATGGGTACAATAGCGCTTCTCGGTACTACCTTTCTCATATACGCGACTCCAGTCGACAGAAGGCCATCAATACGCTTTTGGACTACAAAGATCAAGGTTCGTGTTGCTCTTCGGGCCAAGTACGGCTTAATGGGGGCATTTAGCTGATTTAACGGATTTAGCCATCAATCACTGCCGATGAGTAGAGACATGTGCACTCGCGTAAAGCTGTGCAACAGTATGGGCTTCGTTTACCTTGCTGCAGGTTTTGCCGACGTGGAACGTGTTATTTCAACACGAACTAGTAACAGAAGCATGCAAAAGAGCAGAATGCCCTTCCTAAGCCAAATAGCGCCGTTCTTTGAACTTAACTTCTCGAACTTTCTCTCTACTACCGATGCCTTTTATTAATAGGTTCTGAGTCAATGGCAGACACAGATTCCGATTCGGAGGAAGACGAAAATGTTTGTAGACTGGTAGCCGAAACTGTACATTTTCTCTTACCTGAAGGAGAAGTTGTTGTTGGTTGGTGTTTTTTTTTGGCATTTTTCGCATTTTAGCTCAAGTCCAATTTCCTGTTTTCCAGGAGGTTGGGCCCTGTGTAGCGCACAGCAGAATGCAGACGCTACCGACACAGTCTTGCTTCTTACAAGGTTTGTTTTCAGGAGGGGCAAACAAGAGCGATAGCTTCACTTGCTTTTTTTCAGAAACAAATTATACGTAGCTATATACGATGATGACTTCGAAAAATTGGAGGATGTTAAAATTGTTCCCCTTGACGATGTTACTTCTATAGAGGTGAGAAGAACCATGGGTTCATAAGATCTACTACAGTCTTATTCGCTACGGATGAAGGGGCGTGCCAGGCGGGATGACTTTGGCACGGCGCCATGCCCTTTTTCCACCAGGTTTTGAAGCGTGCAAGCTACAAGAC